TATCGCAAAGTCCGTTGCTTGCATGCGAGCGACGAACACCGGCGGTCGACATACAGCGTAAACATTTGTCCCGAAAATCCGTTTTTAGCACTGCCATGCTTTCTTTGTTAGTTTAAAAATAAAAAAGTCAATAAGAAAATAAAAAAACTAGCCAGCCGCAGCGAGCGAGCGAGCAGACGAAAGAAGCTTCGCTGAGCGATGCTAAGGAAGCGGAAGAGCCGGCGATCGCATTGGCAAATACTTTGCTGTCCGGCCAAGTTGGGCACCTTGTCACTCGCAAGGAGCAGGCTCTTGTGCAACTTTCTTGTTTGTAAATACATGTGTGCGTCTGTGCACGGAGTGCAATCAGCGCGGGTTGAGGCAGCGTCGCTGCGTGGCACCATATACGCCGAGCTCGAGATGGAATGCTCTACAAAAGTCCGTGTGCAGCGTTTCAGCAAATCTTTATTTACCCTTCGGCTTTGTCTCAAACATTGCACAACCTTACCAACTGCGGTCGCGACGTTCCAAGAGAAGGTACAGGTTCGCGGTGACCTTACATCGGTAGAGACGGACTTTGACTTTACACTCCGCGGTTACATTCCAGGACATGGGGCGCTCTCTGACCTCGCGATCCCTGAAGGTGTGCTGCTTGTGTTATCTTTCCGACTTTGATTTTTTTGTCCAAAGCTTTTTTTGTTAGCAAAACAAAGTTTTGTTCTGTTATCTCCATTGTTTTTCTTTCGCATGCATATACTATGAGTTTGGGGTCGTGGAAATCGGGGAGGAAATGCGTAAATAAAGAGAAATGTCTTTCTTTCCTTTGTTTTACTTTGTCCCGGACGTCCTCCACCTGTAAGGTCCGCAGCTGCATTATACTGGTAGGAGGAATCTTCACGGAGTGCATGTCGGGGTATTTGTACAAGTGGGCAATCATTCAGTTATTATTTTTTTTTTTAAATAAATATTTGTTCTTAAACTGGGGTGGGCGATGACTCAAGGATGGGCAATATCTTGGGATATTATCGTATATCAGGCTGAACAAGAGCAAAAGAAGGTTGAGCAAATCAGAAGGTTTAGCCTTTTTTTCTACTATTCACTTCGTTTGTTAGATACGTAACATCCTATTGGGGGCAAGTAATTAAGATTTGCGAAAGAAAGAAACTACCATAGAATACCGCGCATCCGCCCATTCCAGATTAAGCGCCCATTACCAAATTTGTAAGATCTGAGAAAATATGCACGGTACATTTATATGTAAAATTGATGACCGGACAAGCGCCCATCCCCCATTTTTTTGCGATTATCTCCAAAGTTTGAGTGGGCGCTTGCCTGGTATTTTACGGTGACACTAGAAAAGTAATGTCCTATGGCAAGAAAGTGCGAAAGAAAAAGCAAATAAAGCTTTTTCACTAGCCTAAAAATATAAAGCTTTTTTTACAGTGATAGCTGTTATGGGCCCTTCCTACCACTGGAAATGACGTCCATTGTTGATAATGTAGTTGTTGTTGACATTGTAGTTGGCACTGTATTTGGGGTTGTAGGGAGTTTGTTGTCCATGTTGCCAAATCCTCAAAAAAGATTGCCCGCCGCCTGTGGGTATCGAACCTGGGTCCACCGCGTGCGAAGCAGAGGCGTTGCCACTGAGCTACGCCACAGCATTAACGACCCACCCTATACTCATACTTTTTTTAGTACTCAATGCTCACTGCATGCGCTCTCTGGAAAAAGAGAAATAGCCGATAACAAAATGCCAACGCCAAGAGCTCGTGCCGGGAGACGAGCTTTCACGCGCTCCAAAACAAAAAATAAACAAAAGTGTTCGGAACAAAATAGTTGGATGTCTATTTTGTTTTCGTAGTACCCAGCGCCGACTGCACACACTCTTTGAGAAACAAAAAAAGTGGGGGCTCCAATCCACGTTGGGAAGGTGGTTGGTCAGCGAAGCTGTGGTGTCACCTGCAACCGATTGCCTACTGCACTACACGAAATGCTGCCGCCAGTCGCAGCACGCCACCGCTGGTCCTATTGCCACTTCTTTTCCATTGCCGCTTCTTGTATTCATGCTGCTCCTCGGGAGTCCCAACTATGCGTGGCCTATTTATCGCAGTGCTGTAGCAACAATGAAACCAGTTGCTATACTCCGTTTCATCTTATGTTTAAGCGCAGCGGATGTTATGAGCCATCGGAGCCAATCGTAGGCCTTGTGAGTGTCACGTGACCTCAGTTCACACGAGGGCTTCGAATGACGTCAACCCCTTTCGAAGCAGCTGCAAACCTAATCTTTACCGGAGCGCGTGGGCTGTATGTTGTATTGTTCCTATTGTTCACACGCACCTTATCACCCATCATGTGGGATTGATGCTTGTTTTGTGTTTTTTTTTTGTGGTTTTCTTTATTGAAACAGATACTAAGCTGTATGTTGTATGCCTGATTTCAAAGGAGATATGCTGTTTTGCCTTCAATTGTTCGCGACACGAAAATTTCCTTGGCTGGTAGAGGTATGCAGCTTCACTGTAAAAAATAGCCGATAACAGAATGCCGTTGTACCACTGTCAATGCCAAGAGCTCGTGCCGGGAGACACGCTTTCACGTGCTCCGGAACAGAAAGGAAACAAAAGCATTTGGAACAAAATGGTCAGGTGCCTATTTTGGTTCAAACGCTTTTGTTCATACACCCCACGGTGCATGAATGCGACGCCGATGCCCAACGACTTCGCCTTCACTTGTCAAAGCTATCGCTGTGACTGTACTGTGAAAATACAGTGCCGCCCATCCATGCGACACCATAGTTGCGACCCCAAGGGCTCCAACTATGCTGGACGCCGTATGGTGGAGGCCGGATCGGACCTTGCATTCCAATATCACGCGCTGTTCGGACCTCTGTTTTTGCAGCAGCCATCTCGTTGTATGCAGTCACAAGCAGTTGTGGCGCAGTCGGTCACACTTAAATGGGATTGACCCGGCCTCGACGGATTCATGTTTACTTTGCTGTTCGCTGGGCCTTTGAGCGAATGCCGCTGCCGGGTGGTTCACGATAGACCCCAATCTCAAAAGCCCCGCGTCAAAGGCCCCCACCATAAGCCCCGTTTCCTTTTGCCCCAGTTTCCAAATCCCCATTCTCAAAAGACCGTAACACGAAAGCCCCCCAATCTCAATAGCCCTGCGTCAAATGCCCCCCATGTCAGCAGCCCATTCTTTTTGCAGCCCATGTCTTCTATGCGTCATTGCATTTCGCTTCGTTGTTTTTGCCGCTTAAACGAGAGGTGCTTTTCTTCTTTTCTGAACACACACTGGGCTAGGGACAGCGGCTCGTTTGTCGAACGAGTTGTTGTTCTTAGTTTCTTTTTACAGCGGAGCTGTTGAGGGCTAGTTTCTCCACAATCGTGTCCCCCACAAAGGAATGAAGACACCGAACTCTGGACACCTACCGCCATCTATGAGCGACGGCGGCAAGCCACATATCTGGTTGCTGCCGTCGCTAATAGATGGCAGCAGACCTTCCCACTCTGGCATGCCGACTTGCGGCCGGCCATTACTTTTCATTGTACAGCTCCGCTGATCTTCCTTCTTCACCAGGGTGGAAAGGCTAAAAGTTTTTCTTCTGCTCGTTTTATGAACGAACACTCTCTAGAGGCAACGGTTCGTTTGTAGAAATACTACTCGTACCATGACAATTCGCCGCTAGGGCAATCTATTTATTCGCAAAGTCTGCTTACAACACGTGTATTGTTACAGGGAAACCTGGATTCCACAAAAACGTTGCATCTTCTGAAGAAAGCCATCCAGGTTGAGGGCATTGTCCGGCAGTCGTTTCTTCAGATCTTTGATGCTCTCGTCCTTGTCGTTCCACCTCTTGAGTTGTTTCCTCGCCTGACCACCATTGGACTGCTGGAGCAGGGACACCTGACTAGTGGCCTCATCTTTCTTCAGGAGATCGACGAAGGCGTAGATGTTCGGGTGTGCCCTACCGAGCACGTGGTTTATTTTTCTACAATAAAACAAATGTTACTGCATCTCCCCTAGAAGACAGCGAGAGATGCATCCACGTATAAATTATATTTCCTGCTGCTTACCCATGCCAGGCTTCTTTCAGGTTGTCGGTGCGGGTTCTGCGGTCCTCGTGTTGGTTCAACTGTGGAATATCGAAATGGTCCAAAATCCAAGTGTCCTCAAAATAAAGAATTAAAGACGGAATTTCAAGGTCTGAAGGTGCAGCTAGCTTCAGATTGTTCCGTGCTACCCGCACAAAATTTGGCGGTACGAAAGCGAGGCTTATCATCTTTCTGACGAAGCCAGCAACTGAGGTGTCCGCGCGATACACCTTTGCGACTCCTAACTCTTGAACTTTCCGCCAAATCGCTTGGGAGAAATGAAAGTGACACCCCCAGTGATGAGTCCCTGGAAAAACGAAGAGGAAGGCCTTAATAAGTGCAGTTTTGAAGTCTGTTTGGACGGGCTCAAGCGAAATGGAAAGATTGCAAGCAGTGAGAGCGTGTTTGAAATGCTCGAAGGCATGAACGTACACGTCGCGGAATTTTCCTGGCAGCAAGGAATAAGCAACATTGGAGCTGCATCCCCCTTACACTATGCTCAATGTCATCATCTGGTAAAAAAATAGAGGGACAGGAAAATAAGGTTTCATCAATAAAAACTTTGTTCGCTTCAGAGAAATCAACAAGTGCCTCCAGTGTACCGAAAGAGATGATGCGGCCGGCACAGGTTGAAACATAAAAGTAAAAATGCTCTTCCGTCCATCGTTTTCGTGTATATGCCACCCGAGTATACGTCCGCGTATGCAATAACCACCACCACGGGGGCAAATAGAACGGGGTCATTGATGCGGGGATTTTGGCACGGGGGCAAATAAATGTAACGGGGTCATTGAGTGTGGGGTTTTTGAAACGCGGGGCAAATGACACGGGGCTTTTGTGACGGGGATTTTGCGACCAGGGCAATCGTGCCACATCCCCGCTGCCGCGCCCTGATGTTGGCACGGTTGCCTTCCACGGTGTGTCCAGCATCGGCTGCCCGGAGGAGGCGCCCGCCCAGGAGTGCCCCCCCGGCGGAGAGGTGGTGGCCACGGCCAGCGGCGTTTTCGGGGCCGCAGGGGGCTGCCTCAGCTCCCCGGAGACCGGCGTGAGCATTGTGGTGCCCCAGGGGGCCATCCCGGAGGGCGTCTCCCAGGAGATCTTCTTCAAGGTGTGCCGGGACAGCAGCATGCTGCCCCCGCTCGACAGGGACAAAGGTGGGCCCCAGGGGACCTTCCTCCCGAGGCTCTGTGGCTGCATCCTAGGGCGGGTTCACTCTCGCGGTATTCGTCGCCCCAAAATGAATAACCTGTTCCTTTCGTTAGTAGTTCTTCAGATATAGTCACTTTCGACGAGAAGAACTGTAGATCTAGGCTTGATTAAGACTTTTCTTTAGAGGGTAGCTCGTGTAAACATACGCTGATTCCAGGTCCATACTTTGTGGATGTGACAACTTAATACTGAGTTTGAACATTATTTTACGGCTTCCTTAACAGGTGGATCTTAAGTATCCTACTCATTTTCCTTTTTTTCTGCCTTCCTGTATAGTCCAAGCAGCCATTTGATCTGCGTTTGACCCCTTTCACAAGTTGTACATCTGCTGCTACTTAAAAGAAATGTATTCTTTAATTTCAGTGTCTCTTTAGGGCTAGGTCACACCTTTGCATTTGAGTGTTCTCGAGCACGTTGCACTCCCTCGACTGGCACACTGGTGCCGTCCATCGGTTAGCTCTGGAACACTTCTGACCCACGTATAGCATATCTTTATAGTTTTTACGCATAATTCTTTTGCCTTGGGCCCAAAGTAATTCTGACGATGGTATAAGCGACTATTTCTCGTAGGCAGAGCACAGATTTCATCTCGAAAATGCTGCAAAAGCTTTACTGTTGTTTATATTGGGGGCACAGGGAGCCGGGAGAGGTGTGGGTCCCGAGCCGGGCGCAAAACGTTCGGTCTGGTTACATTTGGGTGGGTTCCGAGTCTACCCAGCAGGTGGTGCCAGTGTGTTGGGCGGTTACGAGGGAATGCCGCACGATCGAGTGCAGTCGAGCGCCAAAGTGCGAACCGGCGTGCGGTGTGGTTGTGCGAGGGCTGCAGGGAGGGGCTCGGACGTGCAGGGGAGACACTGCTGAGCCCCCTGGTGATGTGCGGCCCCCATGGGCTCAAGTTCCGGCTGCCCGTGGAGCTGAGGCTACCCCACTGTGCCGCCCTCAACCCGGAGAGCTGGTCCTTCGCGCTCAAGTCCAGCGACACGCCCGACGGTACGTGCCCTTCTGGCTCGTGTCACCACGTTCCAGGACCGAGAATGTTAGTTTGGAAATTTATTATAAATGGTCTCAAAATCACTGCCATGGCTGGCTCGTCGGTTCCTCTCCATTTGCTCGTTGGGAGCACATCCTCAACGTTTGCGCACCGCTCGACCCGTATGACTAAGAAAAAAAGAAAAGCTGAGGACTGTGGAGTGACAGAGGTGGTCCTCGAGAAAAGGATAGAGTATAATTGTGTTGACTAATGTAGGGGTTTGGGCTAGTTGGTATTTCATGATTCAAAATTAAAACAGCGCAAGGACACGGACAAGAACAAGAAGGTAGACAAACAAGGCGCTGTTCGTCTAGCTTCTTGTTCTTGTCCGTTCCTTGCGCTGTTTCAATTTTTAATTATAATTGTGTGCCAATTAACCCGAATCTAGATGTGTCTATGGAAGCTATGCCCTTCGATGCAAATCTGAAGTTTTGTCAGTATTCGTGTGCCACTATATAAGTGGCACACGAATACTGACAAAACTTTCATTCATTCATCATTCATCAACATTCATCAGCTGCTGCTTTTATTTCTTCTTTTTCTTTTTCACTTCTTCGACGCATTTTAGCTTTTGTTCCATACAAGATGCGTATTCTGCACCAGGTGCATACTCTGCACATATAATCATCTCATTCGCAGTACACTTTGAAAAATTCCTATAAATAAAATCACTATTTGATATTCAATTTCTTATTCGGCTTTTTTTTTCTTAATTCAATTCGGTATTCAATTCGATAACTGCTATTCGGTATTCACACACCCCTAACGATAATATCAATCTGAATGATGCGGTATTTTGTATCGGGCACTGACAGTATCCCTTAAAAATTTTTCAATGTTCGTCATTGTCGGAGGTAGTTAGCACGTATATTTCTCATCGAGTGTGGATGCGTGCTGTAAAAGAGCGATACTTTGGGAGGGGATGCCATGAGCCTGCCAAACTCGCTTCGCTGCAGCAGAACCACAAGTGTAGGGGAAGAACCCCTCTTTAGAGATGGATGGTACTGTTGTAGACAACCGAAAAGAGCCTTTTTATGCTTTTTTGGTGTATCTGCCAGTTTTTTTAGAGATACGAGCTAGGAATGAAATGCAAAGTTTATATCTGATACCTCGGACTATTTGACAAGTTAAAAGGTAATAAATCGTGTGGGGTCTGTGGACGCAGAAAAATGCCAAATTAGGTGTTTCAGCTCATATTGTCCCGACGGCTGCTTGCATCACCTGATAATTGGTTTTTCAAATTCACAGTTGTAGGGAGGATCTTTGCCGTGGCATAGACAGAAATTTTTTTCGGGGGGCTGATGTGGCTAAGATGTCTTTGACTTGGGGTGCGGAGAAGGGAAGGGGTCAAAAATGCTTGTGTATTATAATAGGGTTGGCTGGATTCCAAGGAAAGCTGAAGCCCCATGAGCCCCCCCCCCCCCCCCCCCCCCACATCCCTTCCCAAGCAGCACGGATTTTGGCCAAGCAACGGCCAATGTCCGACGATGGTCTTTTGGCCAGTGGCCAGAGAGTGGCCACTCATGGGCCAATGCTTGGCCGATGGCTGATGGCCAGTGGCCATTGGCCAGTGGCCAGATAAAAGCCAGTCAGCGGCCAGTCTCTGGCCACTGTCTGGCCACTTGGCCAAGGACCATTGCCAGCCATTGGCCGATGACTGGCCAACTCTGTGCTGCTTGGGTGGATCTTTGGTAGTACGTAGTGAGTGGCCTTACATGTTCCCCTGACTACTAGGTATAGCTGAGCATCACTCTAGATTTAATATTCCTGTCACAGCCCTCATTTACTTACTGCCTTATGTAGGCCCTTGTCTACTTAACCCTATCACTTTTTTTTTTCTCTTTTTTCGAAAGATGTGATTTAGTGGTTGGGTTTTTTTTTGTCAAAGGGATAGACAAAAAAAAACAACTCAATGCAGTGTTGTTTTTTTTACTTTTTTGAGGGGAGTTTGTACAGTGCTTGGAAGCTGTCCAGATTTAAATAATCAAAAAAAAGACTGATAGCAACAAGTTGTCGCCTTTCTTTCATTCGATTTTATTTTGACCTTGGGTAGCCAAAGGCATGGTGGTGCTTTTTTGGACGAGGACAAAAGAAAGAAAGACAAGACAGACATGAGCGCTCGTGTCTGTCTTGTCTTTCTTTCTTTTGTCCTCGTCCAAAAAAGCGCTACCATGCCTTTGGCTACCCAAGACCAATACCAACTGGCCCAGCATACAGCATTGATAAGTTTTATTTTGACGTACGCCTTTTTCTGCGACATATTATGGCAATCGCAGACTCCGAACAGGAGGTGCTTGACAGAGCCTCTCCTTCGCGCGATGGGCTCTCATCCTCCGAATTCCATATTAAGAAGCATTAAAAGTCCTCAATTGTCACTACCCGAGAGCAGCCAACACGACACAATGTTGTGACCCCCATCCCGTGCACGGAGCACCTAATTTCACACGAAACAGGGTGTGAATACAGTGCTTATAGTTTTTCAAAACGTAACAAATTGCAGCACCTCTCAGGGTTGCAGTTTCATATTTAGGCGAGAACTCAAATGCACAATCACATTTTACATTACTTTAGCGGTGGGCAAATGGAAGCTTAGATGTAAACTTGACAAGGTCAAGTAAATTTCCATTTGAAGAAGTATGTTTATTTTTCATGTCCCGATTTTGTATCATAAAACTATGTGAAGAGGTGGGGCCTGGCAGCCCTCTCTTCCACTGCATACGTTTCGACACCAAAATGGCTGATTGAAGCCAAAATAGCAGGGTCACAGTAGACAGTGTCGAATGCGATACTGCCGAACCAATACAAGCAGCGTGCAGTTCTCCGAGTGGCCGCTGCGGGAGAAATGGCAGCGTTGCAATCGCCATTAGTTTGGTTCTCGAGTACGGATCAGTGCCACTTTTTCAGAGGCGGGTTTATGGCAGTTTCCCAACTGAGTTGTTCTCTATGTGGCACCATCTCAGTTCAGTTGAGTGTAGTCACAGTTAGCAGTTGCTAACTGCGGCATGAACGAGTGGCTCACAACTTTGCACTCTTTGTTCCTGATTGCTGGTCACAATGTCTCGTGTGCAGGAAAACCAGCAGAATGGCAAAATGTGTCGCTCGACAACATGGAAGGAGTCATGTCAAGCCACGTGGAGGAGAACTATGTGTCTGTCCTAGTGGACCACTTTTAGCGTAAACCAAAGAAAAAATGCTCGGCCAGAGGACCAAGGCACACAACCACGACGCCATGCCAGCAGCTGGCCCAGGATAAGGAAACCTGACTTATCATCTTGCATGCAAAGGAGGGCCCAATATTTATTAATGGCTTTGTTTGACATTGTGCCTCAGAGTGTGTGCTCCCAGGATGACCAATGACAATTTATGCAGTGCCTCATAAATAAATGCCTTCTGTAGTATAGAAAGACAAACCTATTTTTGTAGGTCTCTATGAGGCATCGTAAGGCACAGAACAAACTTAAAAACATTTACATACCATTTTTTTTTACTGTTTGAGAGGGGATTTACACGTGAGCTGTGCAATTAAGTTCAAGTTATTTTTGTGTGTGATTACTCAGTTACAATTGATGCCTTTGTTGTGTCAAATGCAATAAAAAATGTGACCACTTCATGTTGTTCTCATGCAAAGTTCAGTTATAGTAGCCATGAGTTTTACTGGAACAATACTTTGTGAACTCTATACTTTTGGATTACATATAGATAAAAAGACAAGCTCTTGTGAGCAATGCAGTCAAACAATAGGGAGTTTTCACTGACATAATTTTGTCCCCCATTTTGTTGTTTTGAGCTATTTAGCGTGTGCAGAAGGCAAGCATTCCAAGGATGTCCATGACCCCTTAAATGCGTAGAGCACAGAAGATTACAAGTCTTATCACGCTGACATCTCCTCAACAGGTTGCTTATGTAATCCTTCATATTAGTGAATTTGTTTGAAAAAAAATAAACTAACAACAAAAAGGCGAATTGACGTCATACGAAAATAACCTATAGTACTGCCCTTAGTTGACCAGAGAGCCCCTCCAGGGCGCAGGGTGATGTTTTGGGCCTAGTAATTTCTTCTTTATTTCATTAGAGAACTTTGTTATTTCAATATAGTGTGAAAACTTCTGCAATGTAGACATTTTCGATAAAATAATTACAAAGTGAAAAATGGCAAATAATTGGCAGTGGACTTTTTTTCTCTGCTTATTTGGAGTTTCACCGTCAATGTCCGGGAGGGAGATTGACAAAAGGCATTGCTGCCTGACAGTGTCCCTACACCCCTACAGTTCAAGGCAGAAAAACAAAACGACACAAAACTATGGATATTCTGTTAAAAATTATGCAGTAATTTTTAATAAAATTGTTGTTTAATTGTTGAAAACGATAATAAAGTATCGTTTTTGACAATTAAGGATCTGTAAGATCCTTATTTATCGAAAAAAGGATTCAATCTTAGCAGGTGTGCCATTTTTAAACAATTGGGAAGTGAAATGAGCAACAAATGTCGCAGGGGTTACGCAAAATATGCTGTCTATGGGCGATTTCATTTCAAATCGTACAGAAGAAGAAGGTCATGTCTTTTACATGACCTTACAAAACCATTTTTGCATCAACTTCTCGAGTTTATTTACTTCTAAAGGACCAAAGGCGGATTTGGGGATTTGGCTGATCATCACAGGGTATGTATTTGAGAGCTTTGCCAGGCTCAGATATCTTTGTAACAAATGCTCTTAAAAATTGTTGCTATTTATTTTTTGTAGAAAAATTTAGAATCCAGCTTTTTTGAGGGTAGTTTGCCTGGTTCAGATAATGATAACTTTTGTTGCGTTTATTTTGATGACAAATTATATACAACATGAAAGCCATGAAACACTTTTTGACTTTGTACTACTCGGAATCGCTCCCTAACATAAATAACTGAATAAACTTCCCTTAGATTTTCTTTCTAGGCAATGTCAGTCGCCAAAAGTATTAGAGAAATATGAGCATCGTTCATCCTTTCAACTCGGAGCCAGACCAAGCGGCCACGTGGCCTGGTGCCTATCCTATGCCACCAATATTAATCATAGCCACGCGCTGGGGTTTGCAAAGTAGAAAACGCGTGCTGAGCTCCAGGCATTGTTAGAGTTCGGCTATAAGACACTTTAGCAAATAGTCAATCGCCGCAAAACGGCTTTACGGGTGGGCCAAGGGAGTTAACATTTTTGTAATGAGCCGCTGCGAAGCAGCGTAAGCGCAGCATGGGGCGTTAACATGCGCCCCCGTTATTTGCTAAAATGGCTCTGTTCGCTAAAACGTCATCGCTCATGTGATATAGACCCGCGCTAAACATATATTGTGAATGCGTCATTCACTGGAGGGAGGGCATGATGGTCGCTGGTCCTTTTTTTTTTCCTAATTCTTAGTCAAGTCGCAGGGGTAGCCTGGAAAATTAGTTGGCATTGCGACTGTTGCCAGAGCAGCTTTCTGTGCGGCACTTACAAGGATGGGGCCCTTGTAGACTGCTTGCTTACAAACCATGACTCAAAGGCTGTGTTCCAAATCTACCCAAATGAATCCGAGTTACTCCGGCGGGTCGCGTCACGTGACAACAAAGATTGAAAAGCGCTGGACGCTGGTAGGTTTTGGAACACTAAGGTACAAAACCCTTACCCTGGAGTAAGATCGAGTAAATTTTGGAACACAACCAAAATGTCTAGCAGACTAAGTGTGGGCTGCAGCAAGCGGTCTTTGCATAGGATTGCGGCACGCCATACGTTTAGGCGGACTTCTTTGGGGGTAGCAAAAAAGGACAGCTTACTTGTTCACATTGAGTATTCCTTATTGCACCGTGGCACAAAGCACCCCTTCCCCTAGCCGGAAACTTCCGGAAGCTGAAACCAACTAGAAACAATGCGAAAACCGCAGAAAATAGCTCAGCGTTGCAGCCCGGCGCACTCTACCACCTGCTATTGCTCACGAAAGGACGGCCTCGGCATTGGTGGCACACCCTGTCAGCAGGAGAGAGTATTGCATACTCATCTTTGCCACAGCTCTTCGAGGAGGCGCAGCGTTGTACCACCTGAACTCTTTCCATCACTGCGAGCCCAAGGAATACTAGACTTTTGTGGTTTCGAGGCATGTGCAAACAACGTAAAAAAACTGCACAAGCTCATCTGGTTTCAATAAAGTTTGACCGTAATATTTGGACGGCCAATTCTGTTCTCCTAGTCCCCATTTTGGGTCGTCCCAAGCCTATCGAGGAAGACACCTACCAAAACTCCCTAATGCTAGAACACATGCATATATTAATTTATTGTTTGATACATTTTGAGAGCATTTGTCCACGGTGGCACTTATGATCAACCGACGGTGGCATGCTCTGGAACCCTGCCCGGCATCCATACCATATGTAGAAACGTCCTTCGCAAGCCTTTCTCTCTCTCTCTCTCTATTTAGCCTCCGATTGCAGAGTTTAGAGACCCCAAGATTGCCTTACCTTTTGGCGCCGTGCCACATTCTTCTGGCAAAGTCTGGGAAGCGATAAACGCAGCCCCAGTAGCCTCTAAGCTTCCGATACAGATGGGTGAAGTAGCTTCGTCAGGTACAGAGGTGTCACAACAATAATTCGTTACGTCCACGGCCTCACAGAAATGTTTTCAGCTGCTTTCTATCAGACATCTGCCATGTCCCAAAACAGCTGATGCAGACTCGCAACTTCAGAGTGTCTTTCATGAGAAGTTTAGCCATACATTGAAATTTTTATTAACACAAACCCTGGATCGCTGATCCACGCTTTGAGACCACCGCGCAATTGTGGCCACCGGTCAGTCGTTTTACGTCATCTACATAAAGCGTTGTAAAGCCTGGAAAGCTATTATCTGTAGAGCACATTTTGTGCTTACAGATACTTACGAAACTGCTTTAACAAGAGATGGTGACAACGCCATGTCGAAGTAGTTTCGTGAAACTTTATGTAAACTGTTAAAGGAAACGGTACGGTGATAAAATGGTTGTAATATGCCGGGTCACACATCGAGGACGACATCAAGGATGGCGCCTAGGACAACCTCAAGAACGTCGTCTGGGATGACCTCAAGGACGATGTCGATGACCTCTGGGACAACTTCGATAATGCCATCTAGGATGATGTCAAGAACGGCGTCTGGGACGACGTCGAGGACGACGTCAAGAACGACGTCTAGGACGACATCAAGGATGTTGGGTCACGTCAGCTTCAGCTACCAACGCTTACGAGCTTATGCAATCGGCGCTTACGCGAACATAGGTTACGCTACCGGCACTTTTGTGGGCTTGCACTCCAGCCACGGGTATTACATGACTTTGTTGCGTGACCTTGCACCTCAGCGACGGGCGGTACATGACCTTGAAGACATGATCTCGAGCGTGGTTGTGCCTACAAAGCTCAATGGCTACATGTGTTGTCGACTGAATCCAGTTTTGCTCGAGCCTGAGGTACTGTGGATTTGTGAAACTTTCTCAGGATCCTGAAGGGCCAATGTCTGACAGTTTATATGAAGTTTTACCAAACTACTTAGAGAAACGATGATAATTGAGCACAGAATGTTATCTTTAAATGGTAGCTTTCCAGGCTTGACAACGCTCCATGTAAGTGATGCGAGGACCTGTGGCTGAATTTGTGGAGGGACGATCCAGTGACACAAACATATTGCTGCCGCCTAACCATATCCGGTGCCAGCGACGGAAGTTGGCAGGCCGCCTGCCAGCCAAACGCTGACGCAGCGCTCGTCTCATTGATTGGACATCCAGCCGAACCTCTTCCTTGAGTGCTTCCGTGTCACTCCTGGTGGGGTTAAAACATCACATGTGCAGACTCGGACATAGAGCGGCGCTCCGCTTCATGAAACGAAAACGCTCCGGGTTTTACCAGAGAAAGAGCGCAAGGGAGAGCAACAGAAAAGCAATAAAAAAAAAAGCAGACTTCTTTGCTGCAACAGGTTGAGGTAGTTCTGGGTGCTTGGTTCTCTTGCTGCGAGCTGGTGCCACGGCTCTGCTCGGCGCTGTCGCGTTTCAATTTACCCGTTTTAAGCATGCTCTGTTCCCACACACCAACAGGCTCCGAGAAAGTTGCTGCAACCGCAGAACATGGCACATACACGTAAGACAGCCATGGAACGCTCACACGCTTGCCTTGCACGACACAGGGCCGCTTCGCACCATCTAGTTTCCACATTTGCACACAGTTTCACCACACTAACACATCAAATTCTGTGCTACTACTGCCTCTGCCACGCCAGAACGGCAAAGGGGCAACTTTCTATATAAAACACTGTAATGAATGAAAAGCGAGGGGCGGGCGATTGATTGATTAACCTTCCGATTCATTGATTAATGCTTTAATCACAATTTTTTTAACTGGTTAATTGGTTGAACTTGAAACCGGCTAAATCAAGACAAATATAAACTTTTATGTGTTTTGCTTACCGACGTTACCTTCACCTCCTAAGTGCAAACACTATCCTGTTTGTCGGCGGGAAACTCACAAGTAATGACCTCATTCATCATGGTTAAGACAGGGCTGGTTCCAACTCAAAGACCGTGTACAATTTACAGAAGGCCCATCTGGCTTTTCTTGGTTAGCATAGCAAGACAACGGCGTCCACGACCTGTCCCCGACAAGGAGCGTGGCATCCCAGCACAGAGAGGACATTCCTCACACACAGCAAGTTCCTTGCACGCAGAAATTCCCCAAAAGGGACAAAAGGCTCGAGTCCCACAGCTTCACTTTCACAATTAATAGCGTACCTGTCATGGTCTAGGGCTTCTTCCCTCGCTCCTCTGGCATTGACTACCGCAGACAAATTTTTTAGAATTCCTCGTTGAGGTCAGTTTGACCATGAGGACCTTTGTAAAGTGTTCGGTACTAGACACAATGCCAATCCTCTCAAAGCAGCCGACTTTTACAACTCCAGCCGCTCGACGTGTCGCTCAATAGCATCGACACACGGTGTCGAATGGTCAACAGAAAAGCTTGGGTGTGTCGCCGTGCTTATTCACAGCAGATGTGATGAACGCTGAACTGCGGTGACGATTGCAGTGCTTCTTTGTTCCTCCGATAGTTTCGCCAGAAAAGTAATACCTCTCCTGGTTAAAACGTCTCTCGAGCGTCTGCCTGTAAATGCCTTGCATGTGACATCATATGGCACCGTACCAGCCGCCATTGCTCCGTACTACGCTCCTGTGCTTGTACCTTCTGCAGCATACATTTCGCAAAATCGAATTCGTTCTTGCCAAGCCTTGGGGAGAAGAACAGATTCAATGGTGGCAAATGTATGCCGCAGAAGGTACGGGCACTGGAACATGGTACAGGGCAATGGCGGCTCGGGCAGCTCCCCCGAAGGTTGCCGCACTTGAGCACGCGCACCACACCACCTATGTTGCCAGCATCCATAACAAGCACGCTATGTGACGTATGATAATTATCTCGTAACGAGGAACTTTTTTGTTGGAAGTTTAAGATAGATGTCACGTGACTGTCAAGCTCGCACAATATCGTTTCTCCGCTTGCCGGAGAAACGAATGCCCGTGTAGGGAGTTGGCATGGCATTGAGAAAGTGTAGGTACTTCCGCTCACCGAGGGGCTGTTCCGCGCTGCATGGCGTTGTTTGGATACGTTCCTCCTACCCTTACGCCACTTCTGTTCATAGTTTCTTAAATGCCGGACATCCAGTATCAAGTTCCCATCGTCTGAGGTAGACAAGATCCCGCTGCAAGGTCATGGTGAGCTCTGGACTGCAGGAGTGCCCTTAGCGATGCACGTAGCAAATAGAGAGCAGCCACTAACGTAATTCAGTCTGCCACGTCGCTGATCCACATTCTGCGCCAAGAGCAATCAGCTGATGAATAATTGCTTGCACCGACAATGCTGCGTTTCTCTGCATGACATGGAGGCTCTCGTGTCAAGGCGCCCAACAAGGTGGCAAACCGGCGTCGCAGGTACATCCCGTTGCCCAGACAACCAAAAATTGAATTTTAAAGAAAAAATTCGCGAGAAAAATATTCCGAGACATTTTGAGTAAAAGCGCTATTTTTAATACTATCTTACTCGTTTGAACGTAAGTACAATAACATCTGCACACTTGGTACACGAGTTTCTAGTTGATGAGGAAGACAACATTATGAAGGTGCGAGACAAAAAAAACCAGCATGCACCTGAATTAAGAGCACTGCAGAGAGATCATGTTGCATATTTGGGACCCTAAAATTGTGCTGGATGCTTCATAAAAGAAGATAACAAGACGCTTTATTGTCGCAAAGGTTTTTGCACTAAACGAAAGATCCCATCACCGTTAAAACCATCTGAACAGCTCCGAGAACTGATTGGAAAGAAAGCAGACGCGGTAGATGGTGCTCCAGTGCACACCTCTGGGCGACGGGGAATGGGATTACCCAGAAGCCGTACATCAGGCGAACGCACACATTTTACAACTGCCCCACCCCCAAGTGCAAAACATTCGCGAACTTCCTTTGGCACCCTACGACACCGTTCGAGGAAAGAACAATCACCTGTGGGTCGTAGGAAAAACTGCAAAAGAAACAAATAAATAGATCTCTGATTAAGGTCCTTCGTAGTTCACCAGGACATCCGCCTAAAGGGGCCCAAAGTCACTCGCACCAGGCTGATATGTTCTCGATGGAGCCAGCCCCACAAAGGGCCAGCTGTCACCAATGTTGCCAGATGGCTTCAGTTGTGGCCACGGACACGGTACGACGGAGATCGCCGAAAAACGTGCGCGACGGGCCGTAGCAGCGTCACCGGCGGCGCACGATGCGCATCTTGTCTTTCAGCTGCAAGTTTGGGACAAAAGCCACCACCATGGGCTCTGTGCTTTAAAATACGATGACACACCTCGTTTGTCCATGACTCGGCAAATCTGCCGTAGTGCTTCCCAACTTTAGCAGGCGAGGGTTTCAAACGCGCCTCGAGAATGCACCATTATCCGAAGGATTTCTTAAATGGTTGGAGCTTGTGAGCCACAAAGAAGGCCACGGGCGGCTTCAGATGCAGGTGCCGGGGTGGGAGCTGGGCTTCCAGCAGTCCGACTTGCCGTCCTCCTTGATGGTCTTGCAGAGCGTGCCGAGCGAGACCAGAGCGCTGGCGATGGCCAGCCCCGACTGTCCCGTGGCCGTGTGCTCCTGGCCTCCCGTTGGTAGCCGCACGATCAGACTCAGCACCGCCGCCTTGCCGCTCGCACACGGCTCCAGGGCCACGGGCGTCGGGTGCCCCTGCGCAGCACCCCCTCCACATTCACTCTTCTTTCCACCAGGAACAGAATGTGCAAAACATCACCATTCGCCCGGAAGTAAACCACCAGATGAGCCACCGTAGACTGCCGATTCTAGCGGGCAGAGTGTGCTAGGGTTGGCGTGCAGTCAACAGCGCAAGCCCAGCCAAAACTGCACTGACTACGTCATAGTCATTGCAATTTTTTGCTTCTTTGTACCCTTCCATGCAAAAGGCAGTGGCAGCAGACCAGTTGCCACGACAGTGCAGCCGACCCATGCCACTTCTCTTCGAAAGCTTATCGAAATATTCCCTAGATTTCATTGCATTTCTGGAAAATGCATTTGTTTACGAAAAAATTTAGATTATCTTTATGTTTTAGCTCGGAAATATTCTCCGTGTCACTAGTTCTGTGCAGTGCGGGCGATGGCAACGTTGAGAAAAGAGAGAAAGGGCAAGCACTAGGAAGGCGGGACGGAAGAGGAGGGCGATGGAAGAAAGGGAGAGCACTAGGAACGTTAGAGAGGAGACAATGTTTCTCCCCTCCTCCCCAGCCTTCCTAGTGCTTGCCCTTTCTCCCCTCGCATGGCATTGCCTGTACTGCACACAACTAGTGACACACAGTATAGATGTCGGCAGTTCAGTGGCCATTTTAAATTTTTAAATTGTTTCACTGGGGCCTTTTTAATATTAAAATCAGAACATAATTACTGTTGAGATTGGTTATAACGAAGTCAATGGAAATCGGAAATCGCTTATTCATTATATCTGAACTCATACAAATAACACGAAAAGAAAACCCGGGTTGTCACGGGCACATGTTTATTGAGCCTGCAGAAAGGGGTCGAGGCTTCCCTGCACGCATCCTCTGCTAGACCGGAGCCGCTTCTCACCAACTGCCGAGAAGCTCCGATCTGAAAAACATCCTGCTACATACGGACCATGTCGACAGCTGCGATGGCTGTCGCAAAGAACGCCAGCAATGGACAGTATTCTTTACGTTTATACACACTCCGTCGAGGATGGCACACTTTTGTTTCAAGGAGATTGCCTTCACCTTCCACACTGAGGTGCCAGCAACGCCGGGACTCTCCGTCGTTGAGTGGCAATAATTCGCCGAATCGGTGCTTGAGCGAGTAGACTTTCGCGCAAGAGCGACCTCACCGACCAGACGCTGACACGGATCAATAAGCAAACAAAGAAGCGCGCACGGCACCGAGTTCGCACTCCAACTTTTCTGTCATCTGTACAGAGAGCCTAGATTTAAGAGACGGGACAACTACTCGATCGGGGTCACGTGGTTTGTGGGCAGCGTTTGCAAAACGAGCTGCAGCCTGCAAGGAGTCAAAACTCAAAAACGTTCACCTTCTGCAAATGTGTCCGCCTCTCCAGTTTCCTCACCACACTGGCCATGCAAGAATCAAATGCAGGCATACTTACTGCTCCCTTTCTTAAATATAGGCTCTCTCCGTCATCTCTGCCAGTACGTTGTCGCTAGTGCTCCAAATGTCCCTATCGACATGCCTCGATGGTTTCTCCGTGTGCGATGCGGCAAGCCGCTTCCCAAAGAAGGAGCTGGGAGCAGACGACGTTGCAGAGACTGCCGCCGCTGGCCTATCCAGCATCTTCTGCAGCCTATTCTGGGTGGCTTCTTGGCCGCGGCACCAAAGTGCGGCGGTTAGAGACTTAGTAAACTTCCCGAATTTTATTATATTTTTTAAATGATCACAAAATTTCTCTTCGGTATATCCGCGGGAGCCGCTCAATTTCCTTCGCTAAAAACAAACCCAAATGCATTGAAAAAGTGCAAGCGGGAATGGAAAATCGTGATCGCTTCGCTGTGGCCGCTATTTCTTTATAACCAACTTTGTTATAACCGGTCTCAACAGTATTCGTGAATTACATCACTGCAAATGACTCGCAACAGACTATAGGGAGCTTTCAAGGGTATTGTTTATTGCACAACTAGTGAAAAGACGGAATGCGCAGGCGAGCTGGTGGCAGCTAATCATGTCGCTTAACACCTGAGACACTTGGAGTTGTCATAGCATGTCCTGGGACTATCACGTTCCATATTTAAATAAAAAATTGTCCAGTAGGAATGATTTGTCTGCTCGGTTATATACTTCCAACATCGGCTAAAATATTGCTATACACATCAGTATTTTATTCCCATTTAAGGTCCTCGGAGAAAGTGCACCCAATTAAAAAAAGAGTGATACATATAAATACCGAAGTCATACGAATGTTCTGCTTGTCAATAGCCTATAATTGTAGAGGTTATAAGTACCAACTACCGTAGGATATATATCTTTAAAAGGTTTTCTGCAAGTGAAAGAGAAGGTGAAAAAAACCTTTCCAAAATCTATAATCTAGGGTAGTTGGTATTTATAACCTCTACAATTAGAGGTCATCGACGAGACTTGAAACAGAACTTTGGCATGACATTTTGTTGTTGATGGAATCGTCCAACCCGCAACGGCATGTTGTAACATAGGAAATTTGTAATCCTGAATACTGGCACGTACCGACATGTCGGTTAAGTGTGGGAAATGAAATGTTAGCACAACGAATCCCGAGACTCGTAAATTTGTTGTCTTCTCTGGGTATCTTTATTGACAAATCAACTTTCGAGGAATTACGTTCCACTATGTACAACTTACTTGTAGAGATTTAATTGTTTCCAGGCTCAGAGAAACTCGAAAACTGGAGGTGGACTCACCTGCTTCACACCGTCCTGAAGCTGCTTGCTCCAGCCATCCAGCTCGCCGTCCAACTCGAGCGTGACCCCAGCGAAAGGACGACTCGCCATTTGTTCCATTTCGACAAAGAGTTGCTGCAACCGGAAGAATACAAGTGTTTCACACGCCGCCCGGGCTTTTCTCGGGCCCCACCGCAACTCATCTCGAGGTGAGGCACAACTGCTCTGTGGAGCGTGGTCTTAAAGGGCAACTCTGCTTCATTTTTGATATTTAAAAAACTATGTAGCCCTCTTCAGTATCGTATAGGAAGACCCCATGTCAAATATTACGATCTAATTCCGTCTATATATTTAATAAACTGGCCAGCAAACCTTCAAGTGAGCCAAGTCACAGAAATCTGCCAACTCCAACGTGCAACATGAGGCGCAATCGTCAGCGAAGTCAATGCGACGGAGTTGGAGCGGCCAACGTTGAGCCACTACGTCAGAGGCATGGCTACGTCATTCTCACGTTTTGTTTGTTTTTACTTCTCAGAGCGAAATTGAACGATGACGTCATGAGTTTCTCCTCCCGGTGTTGGCTGAGCGGCGTCCACGTGATCATTGTAACGCGGATGCGCTAGTTTGCGCTGCCCTGCGCACTTATCGGTCTGTTTCTTCGCTCCCCCTCTCTTCTTTCGGCTTCTCCCCTTCCCCATCTCCCCCGGGCCATCACCGTCCACGCCATGCGAAGCGACCTGCCCGCGTCGCGTGTCCTGTCTCTCGCCCCCCCGAACGTCACAAGACCACGTGGTTCGACGTGACATGGCCATGACTCTGACGACACGAGACCAATGTTGCCTGACGCAACCAAAGTTTCGGTTTCGGTATCAGCTGATGTTTAAATTAGGATTACACAAATAATATTTCACATTTCGCGAATCCAAAGACGTAGAGCTGTTTAGTAGTGCTTTGTGAAATGGAATCACATGTAAGCCTAAATTTTTTGCAATTGAGCGGAGTTGCCCTTTAAACTGCCCTGTTTTCGGCACATACCAATCAACCCCCAACCCCCAGTTTTATCCAATGCGTGAAAAAGACCCCAAATTGAAGCCCTCCATCAGCAAAAAGCATCGTGGAAAGCAAACTACCATTTAATCCGGAACACCGCCCACAGTCCACGAGGCTTCTTTTTGGGAACTATTTTTAAAGGGTTCCTCTGATTTCGGAGAAACCTGTGCCCATCTTCTAGACCCGGTTAAACGGCCATTTTTGGTCCCAAAAAATGCCCAATCTGCGGGAACAAAAAACTCCCAAAACGCCCTCGAATTTGGAGAAAAATGAAACCCTACACTAAAGCTAACTGTACATAGAAACACCCAGTTTTAATGAACCCTATACACAGCTGCTTCTTGTTTGCAGTTTCTTATATTTCCCAGCCAAGCATATTCAAGTCGCTATGCTTTTCATCATTGCTCCGCAACCAGCTGTTTCCTGCCATGCATTTTATGGCACACCGTGCATTCATGAGGGCGCCCATCAAACCACTCTGCCATCTTGGCCGCGAGGCAGCTATGCAGTTACCTCGCCTCAGACACGATCACATGGTCGTGTCGCCGCGGGGTCGATTTGTGTCTCGAATTCGGCTCCTGACGGGCCGCTTTCTCTCCTAGCCACTGGATGGCGCTGCAAGCGCCCCAGTCCGGGCGAGGAAAAACCTCCTCGCTCATCGATCGATATACTCGGGGGACCGGGAGGCAAAAGCCTCTTAGGACTCCGGACGGCACCGAAAACAGGCAAGTGTGTGCGACCGGATCTTGGGTAATCGCGGGACACGAGGCCTGGGTCCCTCTTTGTGTTTAACTCTGACTTTACGGGCAAGTGCGAATATTAGTGTGATGTCGTGTGTCTTCGTAGTTTAGATTGAGTGTTTTTGAGAGTTGCGCTTTGTGCACCAATAAAAGGGGAGCGGAGTCTTGCTCCTGTGAAAGAACCCGGCTGGACTTGTGTTGTTGAGGGACCACGCGGGAAATGGTGAATCGGCGGTGATACGCGATTCCCTACAATTTTCATTAATCCCACAGTACCTTCCTGTTTGGGTCTGTGAGTACAAAAGCATAAATAAATAAATAACTACAAAGCTTTTGACAGTTTCTCTGCACCAGTGGTTCTCAACCACTGATGGAGACCCCTTGTCAATCTGCAGACGTGGGACACCATCCACCAACACTAGACAGTGGCTAAATCAAGAAAACTGATTACCCAACTTTGAAACTCTGAAACAAAGAAGAATCAACACTACTCGGTCAAGAAACAAATCTATTTAACTTCCTGGGACAGCCACCATTAATAAAAAGTTGTATTGCTCGGCTTTACCGAAGGTTGAGAACTTCAAGGATGCCAAGGTTTTCAGCACCCCTATTTGTAAACCAATGCTCTATAAATTGCCTTTCTCCAACGCCTCCCGGCACATTTCTTGCGCATGTTTTGCATGCCCGCCAACCAAATTTTATTTTACAAATTATCCATCTGTCTAACGAATAAGCTAGACTGCCCCAGGAGACATAAATGGCCATTATGACAAAATTTCTAGGGCCAGGTGCGCAAAATAATTGCGGCGGCGGCTGCCCTTGCCACCACCTCAAGCCACCTGTGCAGTGTGGCTACAGTGGCCTGTAGTGTAGCCGAAGTGCCGAAGCTGCTGATGCACTGTGTGCCCTCTCTCGGTCTTGTGTGCAATTATTTGTTAGTGTGCATGTGCAACAATTTTCGGTATTAGGTCAATTAAGTGCGGGATCACAATCTGTGTCACCGAAAGGCCATCACGCTGGCGGAAAAAGGTGACAACGAAGCAACACTGCGCGGCCTCGCAATCCCAGCGACCCTACAAGCTTGCAAAGTTGTTTGGAAGATGACCTTCCCAGAGTCGACGGTCACCCACTCATACAAGCACAAGATGCGCGGCAGCTAAACGCTTTAGACGAAAGCAAGGATTACCTTTGTGGACAGTGAAGAACCATTGTCGGACTCCGACAACGGCGACTACCGCACGGTATTCATTTTTGTATCGGCGTGCATTTCATAAAAATCCGTTCTACGAGGTATGTGTTCGGCCTTGCCTGCGCATTAGAATTGGGGGCGCGTTAGAATTGTGCAAACACTATTCAGCCTTCCTCTTTGTACCTGCACGGTACAATCGGCATAAAGTTATTTTCCGAATATTTGAGCGCTAAAATACCTGTGTATCAGGGGCGCGTTACAATCGTGCAAACACGGTATACACGCTTTCCTATTGCGTTACAGAACCAATCGAAAAGGGGGGTAAAACCAATCTTTCAAACGTTCCTGAGAATGGAGAAATCGCCTCTCTGTCTTTGTAAAGAATTAATGTTCGCAGAAACACATTTGCAGTAAGCGGCCCGCGTCCAACACTTGCATAGACTGCCACACGTGCTCATGGCCGAACATATAACACAGAAAGGGGACAAGTTGCTTCATCTATTACCACCCGGAGCATTAAAGATCGTTTAGCTTCCACCAATCATAGTTTTTTTCACTTTCTTAAACTTTTTGCGGATTTATGAAAGCGCATATCCTACCGTATTTGCGACATGCTGTCCGGTTGCGCCAAGGTAGTGCGAACACATCATGCACGTACGAGGCTCCTCGTTTTACATACGCTCTCCCGCAGCTCTTGGAAGAAGCGAGCTTTCACGCGTGTTACAACGAGTGTTTCAATGTGCACTTGTAACTTCTATTGTAATGAAGTGAAGCGTGGCTTTATTGTGGCACTTGAACTTTCCAAAAAGAGAACAGCACTTATAACGTCATCAGGCTTTGCTCCAGTCTTTGACATGCCACTGAACTTCTGGTTCATAAAAAGAATGAGCAAAGCCCACCTTAACACTGCAGCATGAAACCTCAATGAAACATTTAACCATAAATTTTCCAGGTGAATGCCAAAAGAACCAAGAGGCATGAAATCTTTTCAAATTTTTCTAACATTCTTGTAAACAAACTTGTCTCCTCTGGGACATTAAACTGTACAGCCGAAGGCCCTCGCTGAATCTCCAACTTTGTTGTGCATGTAGCATTTATGCTTTCTAGCACTGGTGACATACCATATTTACTCGCACAATGAACGCACTCGCGTAATGAACGCACCCCCCAAGTCGGCTCTCAAAATTTTGACTTTTTTTTCACTTGGGTAATAAACGCACCCCCAACTGGGATGTCAAAATTTTGACCCCCTCCCCCCACACGCGCAGGCACTTTTCTATCCTGGTCAGCGAGGTCGCGAATGCATGGGCAGCGTGGGCGAACAGAACGCCTTGCAAAAGGTGTTAAAAAAATTTGCAAAGATCCAACGGAAGCAAGAAAAAAAAAAAGTGAAAGCCGTTCACAACTCCCTGTAACACCGAATTAGAGCGCAGCTCTTGAGGAGGAGGAGGGAAGGGTACTGGGGGGTGAAGTGACCTGGAGGGGGGGTCACGTGACGATGCCGGTGATGTCATCAGTGACGTTACTGATGACGTCATCCATGATGATGACGATGCAAATGCCGGTGACGTCATCAGTGACGATGACGTCATCGGGGAGGTCATGTGACCTCGGCGGGGGTCACGTGACCCTGGGGAGTGGTCACGTGACCTCGAGGGGGAGGAGGTCACGTGACCTTGGGGTGACCTTGGTTACGGCGACGCCGACCCCGACGCCGCTCATGCCGGGAACGGGCCCCTAAGAGCTGCTAAGAGCTGCGCTCTAAAAACATGGAGAGTTTTTTTTTTTTTTTTTTTTTTTGCACAGCGCAGCCTGGACTTTGGGTTCGCGCGCCTCCGCGTGCAAGGAGGTAAGAAAGAGAAGCGGAGAAGCGCTCTAAGCGAACGAACAAAACAGCTTGCGAAAGGCGGCAAAAAGAAAAAAAAAACACCGAATTAAGAGAAAACAAAAACAAAGGGGAGCTTTTTCTTTTTTTCTTTTCTTGTTTTTTTTTTTTTTTTGCACAGCGCAGTTTGGTTACGGGGGGGAGGGGAATTGCGCGCAAGGAGGTAAGAAAGAGTAGGGAGGCTCAAGTAGAAAGAGGAGCGGAGAAGCCCCCCCCCCCCCACCCAACTTTGCATCGATTTTTCGGGAAAAAAAAGTGTGTTCATTCTGCGAGTAAATACGGTAAGCAAACTTAATGGGCTTGCAATGACAGAGCCACTGGTAAAATTGCTTGCGGAAGGCGGCAAAAAAAAAAAGAGAAAAAAACGACCCACGGAACTGAAAAAAAAAGAAAAAAAAAGAAAAGCTTTTTTTTCTTTTTTTTTTTTGCACAGCGCAGTTTGGTTACCGGGGGTCGTGCGTCGCGCGCAAAGAGATAAGAAAGATAAGCGGAGAGCCCTCAGCCCTCGCCTAAGCAACGCCTAAGCAAATAAAACAGCTTGCAAAAGGCGGCAAAAAAAAAATCTTAAAAAACTAAAAAAAAAACAGTTTTTTTTTTTTTTTTTTTTTTGCACAGCTTAGTTTGGTTACGGGGTCGGGCGCCGCGCGCAAATAGATAAGAAGTTGCTTCGATTTTTCAGGAGAAAAGGTCCGTTCATCATGCGAGTAAATACGGACGCAAAAATGTTACTTCGCGTAATGAACGCCCCCCCCCCCCCCCCCCCCCCCAACTTTGCATCGATTTTTCGGGAAAAAAAAGTGTGTTCATTCTGCGAGTAAATACGGTAAGCAAACTTAACGGGCTTGCAATGACAGAGCCACTGGTTCATGTTTGCAAACATTGGAAGAGACTATATGCTGTGTAACCATGGCATGTAGCCTGCTGAAAAAATCAAAACGTTTTGGTCGAATCCCATTTACAGCGAAATACGGCTGGAGGGAATATATTTAGAAATGGCGGTGACTTCGTTATAACTGGGTCACCATTCTGCTTGGCAGGCTTCCAGACGAGATGGCAAAGACGTTTGGCTGGTTGGAAAGTGGCGGGGCTTATTGCCATTTTAAGGAAAGCAGACAGACGCCACTCACATACGACGCACCCTCTTGGCTCGGGCCATCGGGGAGACGTTGAGCCCAACCGGGGCCATCCAATGATCTTTATGCAGCGTGTAGCGCATGCACGTCACTCGCAAATGGGTTCCATGCGCTAATTATTGCACTCCTCCAATTTCTAGCCTGTTTAATATGCACCTTAGCAATGCCACTGTGACGCTGAGGGTATTTTAAATAAATAAATAAATATAGCTGAGTTTGTTACAGTCGGGTTTGACTGCATAAGCAAGATGTGGAAGAAAGCAGAGCTTACCTGTCGCCTTCTGTAAAGGTCGTACTTCTGCTTGATCTTCCAGAGGATGGCCGCAATGATCAGGAGCGAGAGGAAACAGCTGATGGGAGGACAACAGGGCACCATTTCAGAAAAATGGAGGTGCGTAATAAAATGCTTGTTCTTCGTAGCGCAGAAATAAACTAGGCATTGGCCAAGGTGCAGACTTTGCCAGAATATAACGCCAATGGTTGGGACCAGATTGTTTTACGGTCATCGGAACAAAAAGTTGCAAGAAAAAACTGGCTTTGACTACGACAAAATGTTGTTGAGTGGCAGCAGACCAAGTGCATTTTTGACTGTTGCAACTCCCCGAAGCCAGCTGTGCGCACAAAGAAGCAACCGTCCACCGTCAGCACCAAAACACAAGTGAGCTTTATTCCCAATATAAGTGTGCTATCTAATGCACGCACCTTGCACAGAGTGCACAGTGCTCCCGTTCTGCTAGGCACACACCTACGGCCCCCTTCCCGGAGTGAAAGAAATCCATAAATGTTATAAGGTTGAGAGCTGGGCCAGTTGGTAGTGGTTAAAGATAACGGTACCAAGGGAAGCGACAAACCCTACACGACACAGCGTTGACTCGCAACTACGTATTTTCATTGTCAGTTTCAAAAATTCTAGCTCCTTACTAGACAACGCCACTGACGCTGCGCTAATGCAGTTTCTTCCACCACTGTGGAAGCACCTCATGTGTCACTTTTTCCTTGTGCCTTCCCAAAATTGTACTGGGCACTCTTGACAGTGAACTGAAAGGGGCACTGCATTAACCTGCCCGGGCTCGGCACTGAAACAATCCTGCTTCCACACTCTAGGAGACAGCTTCAAGTTGCAAATTGACAGACTCAAAAAATGCTTGGCTCAAATGTGATAAGATAGCCAAGTGTCACATCTTTTCATGCCCATAGGCCGCCGGCATGGTAAGTGCCGGCGGCCTATGGGCAGGGTTGTCCGGCTGCCACTGTGGAAGGTGGCGGCAAAGTTGCCCGGCTGCCGCCACCTTCCACAGTGGAAGCGAGCCTACCAAGTAAATTTTGTGCTGCGGCATTTGGGCAATGCATCGGTTGGGACCCAGCTCTGGGCTCGAGGAAAAGTGTGGACGCACCTTGAAAACGTGATGAAGAACTGGAGCAGGTCGAGGGCCCGGTGCTGGGAGAAGGAGATCTGCAGCACGAAGGGTGTGGTGAAGTTGAAGACGTACACGAAGAAGGTTGTGTTCTGCGAGCCGAAGTTGTGCTTCTCGTCGTAGAAGGGCAGCTTGATGTTGTCACACCGCCGGCTGTCCAGCAGCATGGGCTCCGTGTCGCCGTCTGCGTGTGACGGCGGTTGGCCGCCTACCATTTCCCCTTTTACTAAAGACCTGTTGCAAGCAACGCCAACTCCCCAGCGCAGTACCTCGCGTGGCCGAGCCAAGGCACCAAGAAGTTTGGCAGAAAAGAAACCTGTCGTGCGATCAATGCCACCAGCCCGGTGGTCCGCAAGATAAACCAATAAACCAGCTTTTGTTACCGTATAATGTGGAATATAGGTCGAATTTATTTTTGAAAATGGACCTGAAAAAGTTGACCCTCGTCTTATATAACGGTCATTAGTGGAAAAACAAAAATAATCTCGCAACACTGGGTGGCTGAAGCCGCCATCTTGTTTTTCTTTGCAATCGCCTAGCACTCGTCCACTTGTCACGATGGTCACTATTCACTTTCGCTTGTGCTCCTTGGTTTGTTACACCTACCGCTGCCGCTCCCAAAGTGATAATGAGCGGAAGTAGAAGACTGTTCACGGTAGCCTTCAAGAAGGAGGCAATCGCCTATGCAGAGATCAACGGGAATCTTGCAGCGCAGCGAGAGTTTGGTGGATCGGAGAAAAGCATACACTACTGGCGAGGCCAAAGACAAAAACTGGCGGCGTACAGCAAGGCGAAGAAAACTTTATTAGGGGCGAAGCTCCTTAGGGGCTAGCCATGTCCGCCGTCGGATGCACGTGCTCCTGCTCGTGAGCTCACGCGCTCACGTGCTCATGAGCATGTGCTCATGTGCTCGTGTAGGGCAAAAAAAAAAGCAACCGCATCTCCACGTGGTGGATGATGTTGATTGGGCCGAAGCTCTGGTGGTGCTTGTCTGCGTAGACGGTGAGCCGCAGCATGCCGAACCTTTCGTTCGTTTTCATCCATGTCAGAAAGAGAATGTGTGGTATGGAACGTGGTTATATACGCATTTGAGCATTTGACCGCAGCGCGACATGAAAGAAAACGAACGAAAGGCTCGGCATGCTGCGGCTCAGCGTCTATGCAGACAAGCACCACCAGAGCTTCGCCCCAATCAACATCGTTCACCACATGGAGATGCGGTTGCTTTTTCGTGGAAGGACTGCGGTGTACCCCGAATCGGAAACAAAGGTGGTGAATTTCATTCGATATCTGTGCACCAAATCGCTACCTGTGACGTTAGAGTAAATCCGTGCGAAAGCCGTCGAGGTCGCTCGTGCCTCCGGGCTCTTGAGGGTGCAATTCAAAGGGACGGCATCGCCCCTTTGAAATGCGTTAGTGAACTCATCGTCGGACGAAGGTTCTGAAGAATCTGAGTAGTAACGCTCGCGTGCGAAGCAATTAAATAAATGTGCCGTGTTTCCTCGTCCTTCCGTATACTTGGCCAATTTCGTTAGGTAAGGTTGCATTCTCAGTGATGTGATTGGCCTAAGCCGTTTTGGAGCACCTTTCGAAGCAACCAAAACAGTGTTTTGGAGCAGCAAAAGTGGCTTTTGGAGCAGCCAAAACAGTGTTTCGGAGCACCAAAAATGGCTTTCAGAGTAGATATTCTTAGAAAAATAAAAATGTTTGTTTTACATGCTGGACAAACGAAGGGCACTTTGCTCGCTGCAATCAACGAATTAGAGTCAAGTTCGACCACCTAGGAGTCTTTCAAGATGTAATTGAAATGTCAATGACATGACAGATTTTGCAATGCTTCACTTAAATGATACCTATATATGTACCCACAACAGATAGATAAGAACCTAACTTCACAAATTCAAATTTATTTGAAAATTACCAGCTTAGTACTAAAGATCCCAGCATTAGGTTGACTAGTGATATAATATAATAAATGGAAGCAGTCCCCGACTGATGAAACACATAGCTACTGCAGTGCAATGCGAAATTGCACAAAAGAAAAAGGTGCTGTACGACTAGTGAGTACACTTTTTGCTTTTCAAAACTTTCTGCAAAGCTGCTGCAAGCTTCGCTTTGGCTTAGGCTAGTAATGAATGTCCACTTTTAATGTCTGCAAAGAAACATTGAGACACCCCACAAGTGTACAGTGCTTTAGGCGTTGCCAAAAAATTTTGAAAAACCGCTTCCCACCGTTTTACTGATTCCCGACGTGCCAGACTTTCGTCAAAAGTAAACGTAAAACAGTAGATTGCAAGCGTCCCGGCTGGTGCCTCAGTCGTGCAATGATGTTCGCATGCACGTCAGGGCAACTTCGGCAGGCTTGCAGCTGCACATGCTTCGTCGTGCGAGCAGAGACGGCTGTTCGATCGAAACCGAAACCATGCCACTCCGCTCCGTCGCCAACTGGTCTCCAAAAATGTATGTGAAATGTAACTGCCCAGCATGCGACAAAAAATAGTTCAGCGGCGCGTACTTGCAAGGCCGGCAGGCGAGGTACAAGCTAAACATAAAAAAAATAAATAAAGAACCTGAGCGCATCGATGCAGGATATCGCGAGTCAGGGTCAAAACATTCTTGGAGCGCTTTGTGCAACGACTGAACTCGAGACAAACAAGCGCGCTGTGCGGGTTCAGCGTGCAGACATTGCCTTCTTTGCTTTAGCTCACTTCTCTTCACCAACTTTCTTGCGTGACAGATTTTTCATGTACCGGGGTCCCTCTCGAAAGAAAGACCGCCGAGAGAAACCTAGGTAATCAATACTTAGACACAGCAGTCTTCGAACTAATGAGGGATTTTTTGTAGTAGTGTATGTTTTAAACAAGAACAGGAATGTTGATGAACATGCGGCGGTCCTTATGTTTCAGTTTAGGAAGCTCCATATCTGTAGCGACGTGCGGACTGGCAGGCAGGACCAAATATAGTTTTCTCACGGCCGTTGCTTGCAGAAGCGAGTGCTTCGGCTCAAAAAAGTAACTCCCGCCGCGCAAAAACGTAATTTCGTTTCAGTGTGACGGCATGGCTGGTACCCAGCATGTTAGCGTCGGAGCGTCCGTACACGCCCGCATCTATCGTTGTAAAAAAAAAAAAATGCGAGACGACGAGAGCGCGAAAGAAGAGACGGCGGGAAAAACCATGCAAGACCGGATGGGCGATTGATGTAACTAAAGCAAGCGTGCAGGCAAGCTGGTTCAATACTGAGATTGGATTTTTTTGCCTGTCCTACGTCCCTTCTTTTCCGCGGCTCCAGGGTTACAATGTCACGATTGATGCAGAGTACTTTGTGTCGGGTGGCCGCCTGCGCCACCTAGCTCACGCATACTCAGTTACGGTACTCAGTTTAGTGTCAGTTTTGAAAGGCGACCAAAACTGGTCCTTTGGCGCAAGCTTGGCGCAGATTACCCATATTTTGGCGAAATGTAGCAGGATGTAGCAGGGTTAGCCCCTTGGCGCAGTTTAGCACCATCGGCGCAGCAATCACATCACTGCATTATCTTGCCATAAAAACGTTTTTTTCACTTTTTGCAAGTTGTAAATTAGGGGGTCGACCTACATTCTGATTCGACCTATATTCCAGTTTATACGGTAGTTTTAACATGTGTTTGTTCAAGTAGAGTAAACCCTCGTCTAAATCATAAAAACTATAAAAAAAAAAATTCGAGACAAGCGGAGTTTTGAGATAAGCGAGGTAACAAATTTTCACTGCACTTTCATTGCACAGACTGTGCATTGTGCAAATGAAGCTTTTCCAACAATTGCACCAATTGACTCGACACTCGCCCCGAGGAGAACAAAACAACCTCAACGAAATTATCAACAAGCAACACTGACAAAACGAGACAGCAAAACCTAGAAACAAAAGAACCTACCAAAAAAAAAAAAAATGAAAGAAAAAGATCAAGGCTGGAAGACAAAGTTGAGCGCAAGGAAAAGCAAGGACGAGAGAAACAGCGGCACGAACGCCCAACCATGGGGGGAGAAAAAGAAAAGTAATACAGCAAACCTGCACGCAGTGCCAAGTATTCTGAAATGGAATCCCTCATCTCGACACGTGAGCAGCGCACTTCTTACCGGGCCAATCCTGAAAGCACACCGCTCCCAACTGCCCCTAAGTTGACACCAACTTGTTTCACCCGGGAGGTTAGACATTTCTTCTGGTAGTTGATTATTACTCGCATTACCCAGAAGTGATTACTCTCAGAAGCACCACAGCTCGAGAAGTGATAGAGGTGAGGAAGAACATTTCTGCGAGGCCCAACATCCCAAGGACTCTTTGATCGAACAACGGCCCACCCTTTTAGCCCCAAGACCTTGCAAACTTTGTGACAACATACAATGTCTCGCATCTGACCAGAAGCTCTATCTTTCCGCAATCAAATGGAGAGCGTATGAAGTCAAAGGCCTGCTGCACAAGATGAAAAAACCACACCTCACACACGTCGATTACGAAGAAACACCCAATCCCAAAGAATTCAACCCAAGAAAGACCGACTGATGCAGCCATCCAGCCTGGTGCACATGAAGCGGCCCAGGAGAGACGCCCACTACAAAAGACACCATGTCAGGAACCTCCCTCCTCTCCAAGATGATACCCGCGTCTGGGTTCAACCAGAACAAGTGCCAGCAACAGTCCTGCAAAAAGGCCCCTCGTCGTAGAGATGGGAGACGGTGCGGCGTGGCACCAAAAGAGGCACAATGTTGTGCCGTACGAGCCGGGGGCGGCTGCAGCGACGTCTGGAAAGACTCTGTGGACGACAAGACCCGCCGTCCTTCAGGTTTTCTCGCAAATCTTCGACCCCTTTGGTTACTTGGCACCATTTATTGTTCACGTACGACTTATGCTTCAAACAGTTTGGATCGACAAGCGCGCATGGGACCAGGTGCTTGCCCTTCAAAAGCAACTGGAATGTTGGTGCTCCAAACTACCATCGCCCTCCTTTCTACATTTACCACGCCACGCACTGGCATCACCAACTGAGATGTTGGTAGAGATGCACTTACAATAGAACCTGGTTGATACATCTCTCAGGGGACCGTGGGGAAAAGACGTATAATGCGGTAAAACATCAAAAATCAAGAAGGCCCTTGGGGGGCTACAGATGATGCAGAAAGCAATTGTCATAACACAATTTAATTGCACGCAAACTTTCGTTGGTGTGTGAACTAAAATAGGTTTATAAAAAGCTTGTAATCTCTGCCAGGAGCTTCGAGCAACTGCTTGACACCAAGAGTTCCTTTTTGAGCTACCGCAACCCTTTCTCACTGTCCGCGCACTCGTGAACACTCCCGTATCTGCGCAAGGTATCCAACGCCATGATCGCGTCTGCAAATGTAGGTGTTGCGTGACCGGTGACTGTGTCCATTCTCATCACTTTCAGCATCATCGGCAGCGGTGTTGACGATATCTGACATGCGGTTCAGAGGCGACGACGTTCTCGTCAACCGAAAAGCATAGGTGAGAAGGCTCCCTCCCACTTTCTTCATCGCATTTTACGTTTCTTGCGCGTCTTTGGCATCTTCAGAATCTTCGCTGCTGTTGCTCTCAGCTAGCACTCTGCCTGGCCTCGCGCGTTCGAACCTACATTTGCAGAAGCAATGCTAGACAGTGGCAATCGGGACAGTGTACCACGCTGTTGCAAGAAAGTGCATCACATCCAGGGTGGTGAGCTTGGTCGGAGTGTTGCCTCGTTTTACCATAGCGAACAATCACCGAACAATCCACTTCCTATAGAAGTGTTTCACATTTTTTACTATTCCTGCATCGAGCAGCTGAGCGTGGTTTGTCGTGATTGTAGGAGGTTAACGCACCCTGACATTTCCGAGGACCGACAGGTCCTTTGGCTGGGCAAGGCAGTTGTCGATGAGCAGCAGGGCCTTTCTGTTTCGCAGCCCCATTTGCGAGTCCTAGTACTGCAGGAAGCTTTCGAAAAGAATGCAGGTCATTTACGCCTGCGTGTTGTGCCGGTAGTGACGGGGATTTGCCATGGATGTTTTGTAAGCATCGCGGGCTGCGGAACTTCCCGATGACCTACGGTTTCATCTTCTCTAATCCGTCTTGGTTGCGGCACAGGAGTATGGTAAGTCACTACTTGCTACTTTTCCCCGAGTGACAAGCTTCACCCTTGAGGCTCAGTGACTTTGAAGGCTGCACGTTAAGAAAATGGCCAGCCTCATCGGCGTTAAAAATGTCCTTGGGGGAGTATTTGGCAATGATTGAAGGCAGCCAACTTTTCTTCAACACAAACTAGGTCAACGCTGGCCGCTTTACCACTTACTGTGAAACAAATTCCGTGGCACTTCTTGGAGCAGTCGATCCACCCATTGCAACACGCAAGGTCCGTAACATTCAAAAGTTCCGCAATATTTTGCGCCTTTTCTTGAGGATCCTTCCGTCGATGTTGACACGAGATGCCCGGGCTTGTTTAAGCGTCCTAGCAAAGCATGTTCCAACTCAGCGTGCCTCACCATCTAAGCTTGCTCGGAGCCCAAGTGTAACGCAGAAGCTTGCGTCCCAATGTTTTTCGTTTCACAACAATGCTGTTAAAAGTTGACGGTTTGATCCCAAGGTCACTCGCGATGTCCGTTCTCTTTCGACTGGGACTGCGACGCTCAACCACTCGGAAAACGTCCAGTTTCTGGAAACTAAGCACCTTTCTTCTCTGCGACGCCATGGTCACCAGCAGAAGCCAACTCATGCAAGACAAAACTGGAGGAGCCGAGAAACAGCCCACAAACCATAATTGAAACCATCAACTGATGCAACTGTGGTGCTCAGTGTGAAAGTGCGTGCCAGCACCCCAGGCTGTGAAATAGACGGAGATAAACGGTGGTTCTAGAAATATCAGAAGCCCCAAGGTCACGTCTGGCGCTAAGCAGTAAGGCAGCGGGTCCCGGGCAAGCAAGCGTGCAAAGCGAAAGGAGGAGTGTTACTTCAGCAAACTTGTCGATCCCACGGGAGGGGGAAAAAAAAAACACCAAACGGTTTCGGACAGTGCATAACAGCGAATGAGGCGGCAGCGGTGTTGTGCGGACACGCAAGCGTGAAGGCAGCAAAGAAACGGAAGCTTTTGTTTCATCGTGCTCACTGCTATTTCCTTCAAAGTCATTCTGCCCAAGGAACATTTTCTTTTTCCACGAGGCACGCACACTCATCTGGGATATTGCAATCCGAAAAATGCGTAAGACTGACATCTTGGATTTTCGTTTGATGAGTGAGTCCTTTCTGTAGTATTGTAAGAAATGAAATATACTTAAAAATTATGTCTCAAAACGCTGAAAAATGCATATGAAATAAATTATCTAAAAAATATGATCGCTGAATTTTAACTACCGTATTTACTCGCATATTCAACGCACTCGCATAATAAATGCACCCCCACAATGGGCATCAATATTTTGACTTTTTTTTTCCCTCCCATAATCAACGCACCTCCAATTTTCGGATCCACGAGGTTTGAATTGCGTTCAATTTAGCAAGCCACCAAGCCAGTTTTTTTTTTTCCGCCAAGCGGTCAGGCGAAGTCAAGCCAAGCTAGGCTGCTCTCGTGGCTCTCATAAAGTCCGAAAGTATGTCGTTGCGGTAGTTATGGAAGTGATCAACCGTGAAACCGAGTGCCGTGTACACTTGACGAAGCTTGGGTCGAGGAATTGCCGAGCCCCGGACATTCTTCGCCTATCGGATGCATTGATGTCAACAAACAAGCCGTCGTCTGTGGTCCGATTTCGGACAGCGAAATCGTAAAAGTGGTTAGGCCTAATTCCACATACTCGGGGTAATTGTGTTTATTTAATCCTTAACAGAATGGCACAGCGAGGTGCACGCTGCACTGTAGGCTGGGAGTGTCTGGTAGCCTCTCCGTGAACGAAACTTGATCCGTGCGAGCGGGCTTCGGGGGTCGGCGGTTGGACTTCGTACGAGTCCTTATACGCGTAGTCGCGGATATACCTGAGCGTGCCCGCTGGATACTAGGAATATATATCGCCTAAGAAAGGTCGTGTTACTATTCGTGCTAAGTGAGCTTCGTAGAACGCTTTTCCTTTGGCAAAAGGCACCCCAAAAGCACCCTAAAAAGGTTTAATTGTCATTTATAAACCATGGTTATTGTGGCGCGCCCCCACCAGCTGTGGGTGCGCCTCCATCACTGGAGTTGTGCCACAGTACGTTGCCGTGTCATATTGGCACCTAATATGACATTTGCACGAAGTGTGTAAATGCAAAAATTTTACCCCGTGCAATGAACGCCCCCTCGCAAATATGTGTCAATTTTTGGGGAAAAAAGTGTGTTTATTATGCGAGTAAGTAGTTTTGTTTTGCCCTACCACAGTGGAAGCTACTGCTGCATACTGCTGGCGGTACGTTGACGCTCCTCTGTGCTGCTCTCCTTAACAGTGTTAGCGACTCCGCAGTGTAGACGGTGTCGCATAACAGCATGCTAAGACACGGCGCTCGCGAAGCCACTTATGTGGCGCGCGTCGGTAGTCTTTGAATGCAAGAACCGGGAACGCAAACACAATAAGCCGGGAATTAATACAGATGTTCCTACGTGGGACCAGCGGTTTTCAATTTAAAAGCCTGGAAAACGTAAAATACCGGGAACGCATCAACAAGGTTATACTGTATTTCACTCTTCCATTGGAGTAGATACTTTTGGTTTTGGCTCAAGCACTAAACCTCCCAGTTATTCCTTCACTTGTGCCACTATTCCATGAATCTGATGAAGTTGGCCTTGTGGAATAAGTGTCCGTCCCAAGCAGCCTCAAGCCTGAGGAAGCACTCACCCGAGCCAATCGAGATGTTCACGTAGGCCCTGCCCGAGCACGAGATGGTGAACTCCACGTCGTTGCCCACCTTGATCGGCACATTCATGAAGTTGATGTTGCGGTAGTAGTCCTCCGAGGACAGGTTGAAGGTGTACTGGAAGTCGATGCTCAGGTTGTCTGCGACACACAGTTGCAAATCAGCTCTGCATGCCCTATTTTTCCCACCAAATAGTAGTGCAAAACTATCAGTAATACAGGAAACTCTCACTTGAGCAACTGTCCGTTTAACGAAAATTTCGGAATAAAAAACTTTAAAAAAATCTTTGGCAGTTTTCCTATGCATTCTATTTATTTATTTATTTATTCAGATACCTACAGCGCCATGGGGCATTCAGTGATGGAAGTGCCATTTAACCTTTTGGAGCAGGCCTTGTAGCAGGCAAAATGTTGTTTTGGAGCAGGTAGTGGCCCTTTTGGAGCAGGGTCCGGCATATGTTGGCATATTACTTGAAAATTAAATAATGCTGCACTGCTATATAAAGCCCATCTCTATTGTTCGAACACAGCGCCTGTCGCCTTTTTAAGACCGGATATATAAAATCCAACAAAGTAAACACGCAAAAAATCATTTTTTTAAAATAAAGTTTATCCGCTCGTCAGATAAAAAAATACAATTAAATATGCCACACTGAGTTTTAATGGTACAGGATACCAAGTTTTATCAGCCTGCACTTCTTTTAAGGTATCTGCAGCAGCATCTAACGACCCTCACTGTTGTGGAATGTTTTAGTTCAGATTTGAGTTGTCTTTCGGGCAGCAGCTTCAAATATTGCGGTATCTGATATTCGCTTCAAAAATTCCGATTCATTTTCGATGTGCTGGCGAAGTCACGATCGGATCACGGCGAGTTAACCCGTTGAGTGCGCTCCTTGGCATGCACCGACGCGCTGCAGAGAAGCGACACCCGCGGAGCAGACACCGCAGTCGCGCGAGTCGCGCAGTGCTTCGTGCTCCGAAAAGGACGGTGAGGCTTTACCAGCACTACACCCAGAGTTTCGTGCAACTGAACTATACTTCGTTTCAGCTTCGGTGCGAGCGCAGCCAAAGCTACAAGCGCGCGCATGGAGCCCGTAACGGTGCCCACACTGCACGAGCCCACACGCGAGTCAGGAATGCACAGAGCATTGGGCTCGCGCTAGCTTTGACTTCGCTGATAGCTAGCGCACCAGAACAGGGCGGGCCAACATTGAAAACATCCAGAAACTCGGCCTTTTTTATTTTTTTTTAAATAGGCTGCTCAGTGGGATGGTTCTTCGCTTAGCCTCTGTGGCTTAATTTGGTCTCAGATGTTGCTAACGTTGTTCCTTTCAATGATGATGATGATGCGCTTTCGCAGTTTCGGTTTGCGTAACAGTTGCGGCGCGGAATATACCGCGGTACCGCCACGCGCTCTGATAAGACTTCAATTCTAATTTTTCATTGCTACATATCTCATCTCGGCGCAGGCACGGCGCAATTTTTCGGTAAAATGACAATTTGGCGCTACATGTAGCAGGATTTCGTCCTTGGCGCAATTTGGCGCAATTGGCGCAGCACTTCCATCACTGGGCATTACAGTAGGGGGGGGGGAGAAGTTGGAAATGAAGAACACGAATAGTTATACAAAAGTTAAAAGAGCAATACAGTGTAGACCGCATATAATGTATGTCGCGGGAGTCGCGAAAATCCGCACTATAAGCGGTACTGCACTATAACCAAAACATAATTTTTCAGGCCAAAATACACGCCATGAGACAACTTACCTTCGTAAAACAATTTATTTTATGTTACATGAAAAATAAAGCTTAGAGTGAAGAAAGTCTTTATTCCACCATACTAGTACACTTCTCTCTCAAGTGTGTCACACATTTTGAAAGAAATGAGCGACTTTTGCCTGGCACAGCCTTTTAACGGCGTCGCGGGTTGCGGACGGACGTTGCGAGCGTTCAGGATTGCTAACCCTAATCACTTTTCTCCAGCGATGAAAACGCGTGAAAATTCGCATCCTTTTATGGTACACGCCAGTGATACCTTCAACTTTGGCACAGGCATGAAATGCTCCAAACAAGAAATCCGGGCGATGTTCGGAAACACAAATGCTTAGAAAGCACCACTGTAGTCGAAGTAAACAAACACGACTACATGGGCGTTTCTGCCGTCTTGAGAGTGCCGCCACGACATTGCCGCATGAGTTGGTGGATCTTCCCTTCTAGTACGTGCTGGGTTATCATTACGACACACAACGAAAATTCACTGTCAAGGATAGCGCTTTTACGCGGAACGATGAGCTTCCACCATGCCGTCTACGTCGACGCCATGTTTGCGGATAGAAGCAACCGGCCCGCGACCGGCATGCAACGCGCGCGAACACTTCTCCTCGACCTGCGATTGGTCTGTCGTTGGGTTGTTTCCAGCTATAGAGTTGGTCGTGGTTTCCAGCACGTTTCCAGCGCAGCGGGAACGACACGTGCGTGTGTCCCTCCGTCGTTATGGCAACTGAAGCCTCTCTCTTCGCTTCTCCCCGCTTCTTCGAGCAACCTCCTTGCCCCGCGAGGGCCGCTTGCTGCTAGCGCCGTTATATAGTCGGCGCGCTCGGCGGGCTGTTCCAGAAACCGCACTATAACCGGTATTTCCCTTTTGAGCGCCTGCATTTTAAGCGGTATGTAATTACATGGAGTTCTATGGGAGGCGAACCGGTGGTTTAAAAAAGCCGCGTTATACCCGGTCCTGCACTATAAGCGGTTACGTTGTAAGTGGTCTATACTGTATTCACAAGCCATAAATCTTTCAGTACCACAACAAAGTGCAGGCTACATAAAAAATAAAAATGCGGTCTACTAAACACTCCGAACGTTACTCAACTACTAACTAGACACTACGAGGTTAGTGTTGAATAAAACATATCGTTTGGAACAATGTTGACCACCGAGGCTGGCAAACCGTTCCAATCCCGTATTGTTTTAGGAAAAAAAGAGTTCATATAGACGTCACTTTTACAGCGGAATTCCTTGACCTTATACACATGATCTTTTCGTTGCGATATGTAATCTGGCGGGTGAAGGTAGGCATTTCTATCTATCCCAGTCCTACAGTGAAATATGTTATTAAAAAATTTCAGTCGAAGGTTCTTCCTTCTAAAGCTTAACTCCTTCCATCCTAGGCTCTGTTTCGCACGAGTCATACTAAGTCGCCTGTCATAATTGTTTAAAACAAAACGGGCAGCCCGGTTTTGTACTTTTTCAAGTTTGATTATCTGGACAGCAGTGTGAGGATCATTGATGATTGATTGAGGATCAAAAATCTTTCAGTTAAACTAAGAACAAACTTCGGAATAGCGAATATTTCAGTTCAACAAAGTTTTGTGCTCTGCAGTGCTGGCGTAGCCGATGCCCGCTGCCCCGCCAGCGATGATATGCTGCTCCTGCAGAGGCGGCCTCTGCAGGGGCGGCGTATCATTGCTGGCGTTTACAGCGCTGCCGAGGTAATGCAGCGGTACGGTAGACAAAAACGAATCACGTGGTGTGTCTGTTTTTCTTAGTCATCGGTAGGGATGTCGCGAACCACCCCAAGTTCGATTTCGAAAGGTTTCGATATTTGCGAAGCGTACTGAGGTTCGATTTCGAAAAATTTCGATATTTTCGTACCAACCGAGGTTCGAATTCGAAAAAATTCGCAACTTTCGATCACAGTGGCGTTTCGAATTCGAAAAGTTCGAAGCTTTGACGGTTTCTAGAATTTCGGATTCAAATATTTCGAATATTTTTTTACTTCAGGTTCGATAAATTCGAAGATTTCGAAATTCTTTGGAAATAAAATTCGAAAACTTCGAACGCTTCGAATTTTTATAGACATGAAGTTCGAACAATTCGAAGATTTCGAATTTCTTTCTGCATAAAATTCGAAAAGTTCGAAGGTTTCGATTCTCTCTTGACGCTAAATTCGAAAAAAAAACCAAAAAAACTGAAGATTTTGAATTCTTTTCTAGTACAAGTTTTCAAAGTTCGAAGTCCGGTTTTCAAGTTCCTCCACAGTTTGTTTCAAATAATGTTTTCACGACGCACTGGTTTTCACAAAATCAAGTTTAGAAAAGTTAGGGTGTGATATCTAGATTCCTCGAAGTTGGTCAGGCAATTAAATGAGACGACGAGTGTCCCGGATGTGCTGGAATATTTGCCAGTGCAGAGTGACGTGTGACCATGGATCAGTAATTGTGACCGCCAGCTCGGGGTGGGGGAGGGGTCTTTAACCTGCATCACGCAGTAGTGATCACACGAACACACTGTTTTACGAGACTCATCCAGTTCGAAATGGCCAGGGACGAGCAGAAGGTTGAGGCTCAGAAAAACCTTGAAGCGACCTGGCAAACTACCTCGCCACCCCTTGCGCGCTAGTAGTAATCTGATCGAACGCCGCCCGAGTGACGCTGGCATATAGTAAGTTAAGTTTGCAAATATCCTGGAGGTTTATTTTCTGGGACGGAGGAATCGACTCGCAAAAAGCCGACACAACTCGAGGTCGAGGAGCGTTCTACCATACAAGTGGCGTCGGAAGAGGAAAAACGGGGTGTAAGCGTCACATGCTTAGTGGTTCGGAAGTTCAAAGCTATGTCTTTTCGACCTAAATACCTGTGCCAATAGTAAAAAAAAAAAAAAAAAAATGCGGGGATAAAAAGTTGGAAAAAAAAAAACTATCAAGAATTCGCCGGAAGTGTTGTATTCTTGCGTATTCAGAGGTTCAGAACTTCGAAACAAGTTTCTTTTACCAAATTGCGTACAGGCTAAAAGAAACACGTCCCAGGATCGTGAAGCAAAAAAAAAAAGAGAAAAGTTTTCTTTTTTGATGACGTGCTGAACTTGAACACTATTAGAAATCTTCTCCCATGAGTTAATTTATTCCTTAAAGTGAAAAAACAATAAATACATTATTTTGTATTCTGCAGATGGCAATGATATGTACTGTCTGTGGTGTTAATTTAAATGCGATACCTCAAACAACTTGGACGAAAATAAATACCAAGTTTAGGGCATAATTGCATGTAGATACATGTTTGGACATTTCTTCGAAACTCGCGTTGAATAACAATAATCATATCTTAAGACGGCACTTACCTAGGCTATACATAGATCATTCTTGAAAAA